AAAAAAAAAAAGAAGTAACAAATTTCTATCAGCAAAGGATGTTATGATCTATCCAGATTACCAATGATTGGCCGGTCATTAAAGGGAATTATTACAGCCACGGATGGTACTCGAATGTGTATAAGGCCAAGGTCACGACAACCAGACAGGAAACAGCAAACTTTATTTACTGCCTACACACAAATGCCAAGTGTTGTCAGTTTCATTCTCCAAAAAAGAACATCTAATAGGGTATAGAGAAAAGTGGAAGGAAAGCTCCAGAATGTCTTTGGTGGCTCCCTCTGGAAGGTATGGCTAGTGGGAGTGGGCATTTTCTCCTTATGGTTTCCTGCATTTTCTAGGAGTTACTTCAGAGAGTGAGCTATCCTGGGGAGGGCAGGGAAATCTGTTTTATATTTGAGTCTGGATAATTTGCCTTTTCTGGAAAAATGCAAATGTTATTTTAATTTTAAAGCATGTATATAAAATGGAAACGTAGTATAAAATTGGAAAGAAAATACACATAGGAAAAAAAGTACAAAAGAAATGTACCACAGCATTGACGCTGAGCTGGCAATTATAGGTTATCTTCTACCTTCTTGTATTTCCCAAGTTTGCTGTGTGTATTGTTTTTAAATTCAAAAATAATTAAATGAACTTTTTTTTTTTTGAGAAAGGGTGTTGCTCTGTTGCCCAGGCTGGAGTACAGTGGCACATTCATAACTCGCTGTAAATCTGAATTCCTGGGCTCAAATGATCCACCTATCCCATACCCTCAAGTGGCTGGGACTACAGGCACACACCACCACGTCTAGCTAATTTTTTGTAGAGACAGAATCTTACTATGCTATACAGGTTAGTCTTGGCCTCAAGTAACCTTCCTGCCTCAGCCTCCCAAAGTGTTGAGATTACAGGTGTGAGCTGCCACGCCCGGACAAACTATTGTATTTTTTAAAAAAGACTGTGAAGATATATAGTAGAATATGGACAGTGGTTATCCCTAAGTGTTGGGAGTATTAAATTACTGTTATTTTCTACATATGTTAAAATTAATGAGATAGTCAGGAAAAGTCACACTTAGTTAAAACTTTAAAAACAAGTAAACACTTATGAATGTCAAGATTGTGTGTTTTAGCAGAAACGGGTTGGAATGAGGATACCTGGTCTGGATCCCAGCTGACCCACCATTACCCTGAACTTTACCCCCCTCACCGCTCCCTGTGGGTATCAGTTTTCTCACCTTCTTTTTTTTTTTTTT